GACAGTTCGTCGTATTCAATTTTTTTACAAATAGTAAAATAAAGATATCATTCTCTAATGATAAAATAAGTCATAACAAAGTAAATAATATTTATAAAATAAATTTAAATAAAACAAACGGTCACAAAAGAAATCTACAAATAAAAAACGTCATTTATTTTGGGACGAAGTAGCGGGTAGCACGTGTTTAATTTGTTGCTTAGCGTTGTGGGTCCTAATAATCTCACGGCATCGTACTAGCTTCCAATAACACTCGTGGCTTTTGCACAAGCACAATGATAGTGTCTGTTTTGTTCGCCTCCAATGCGCAAGCATGCATGACTTGCACCGGGGGAACGAAGCGTGGAATACTTTATGTTTTTTCTTTACGTGACGAAATATTTTCATTACGTACCGATTTTCTTTTCCGGAACACTCCGATCTGTTCACGTATGTAAGCATTTCTTGCCAAGGCCAACCCTCCTCGTCCCTCAATATTTCATTGATGCATATATCGTCTCTTGCGGATCCGTATTTACTTTTTTGTTCCAAAAACATCGTCGAACTTGCCACGATGTTGCTCGTATCATATCAGCTGAAGTCACTGCTGCCTGAAGCATATATAGAGATGGCAATGAGTACCCGGAACTTGAAGATGCGAGACGGGTTTAACCTAGTAATGGGACGGCCCATGCACAGGTATGCTAATGGGCTGCCCAAAGGTATCCAAAACACACTAAAGGCCCAACCCAACTATCAATATATATATCAATATATATATATATATATATATATATATATATATATATATATATATATATATATATATATGATATATATATTCTTTATTTGTTTCCTATAGTGAGATGCATTTAGGTATGTTTACCATCTGTATTTTTATCCGTGCCGTTATAGGTATGGATAGATTCTTTTTTATCCGTGTGTAGGTATGGGTATTTTGTATCCATGCCTGTTCGCTTGCTCGTAAATGATCGTAAATTTTCAATCAGGAACAGTGTTTTTCTCTCACACTAAATCAGCCAGCAGTAAATAATCCACGATACGATACGACCTCCCGAACATACTAAGGAGTAAGAAGGTGTTTAAATCCGGCTACTAAAATTTAGGAAGGGCAACCAAACAGCCCCTAACAAAAAATTGCTGGCAATTGCGCGCGCTCTCTCTCTCTCTCTTGCTGGCAATTGCTCAAGCACAATCCTCGCAAAGAAAAAAAAAATGGTCAAGGACAATCGCCTGCTGGGTGGTGCCATGGATCATGGATGGCATGGGTCTGACTCTGACTCTGCCGTGCTGCTGCCTGCTGCGAGTACGTTACGTTACGCGGCATGTCAGTCCACACTGCCCACCTCACATGCACACACCTCCGGCCTGAGTGGGTAGGTGGGCCCACCACCCGCTTGTGCACCGTGCACACACACCTCCGAGTTGGCGCAGTCACTGACAGGCCGGCCTCCGCAGAGGAATGGGTATGTGCTGTGCTACGTACCATCGCTACCGTCCAAAAAAGCGCATAAGGCCCACAGAAAGCTACTACTGACGAGTGGGCCCACGGTCACGGCCCGACTTGTCAACTGCTGGCGAGTGACGCCCACCATCCCTGTCGACTGGCAATCTGGCATCCCATGCCACCGGGCGGGTCCCAGCAGGCAGTGTCTGCAGTGGGCAGCGACGACAGGAGGCGCTGCTTCCTCCTGTCGGGGAGCAGTGCCTTGTCTCCGGCCCGCCGTCGCATTCGCCATTGAACAATCCCATGCTTGTCCAACATACCAACGTGAGGCCCCGTTCGCCTTACTGAAAAACACCGTTTTAGCTGAATTGTTGTAAAAGAAAAACACTGTTCTTTTGAAAAAAGAAGCCAAATAAATCGGATTATAAGGTAAGCCGAACTGGCCTAACCATATGTATTTTTAAAGAAATCAATTTATTTTCATAGCAGAAAGAAACTATTCTGCAGAAAAAAGGTCCTTCCTCTCCCTGAACAATCCTATGATTGCCCAACAGACCAACGTGTCACAAGGAAAAAAATGGCCATTGAAATGAGGAAACTATATAAATATAAATGTTCCAGAGAAATTACTCCAAAGACATTCCAAAGGAGGCCATAGGGTTTGTTTTGGACATCACGCAGCCCATTCAGGCCTTAGGTTGGCCCTGTTCGCTGGGAAGAATTTGGAGAAATCTGAAGGAATTTATGAGAGAGTGAACAGTGTTTTTCAGCCGGGAACCATGAATTCCGGCTTTAAAACTGACCAGCCGAACTGCCGCGTTATTATAACGTTGGTGAAGTATATCTATATCAAACTAAAAGCTACTCGTACTACACATTGTTGGAGGACATCTCGCAGCCTGTGGGGACGTTGGTATGTACTACGTTCCATGTTATCAGTCTACTCCCTCTACCCCCCTCCCCCCCGCCCCAAAAAAAAAGTACACATCTTATATTTCAAAGAGTCAACCAATCTTAAGTTGTCAAAATATTTTAAAAAATAATATTTATTGTACCTCATAATTATTTACTCGATTGATTATGCAATATATTTTCATATAATATATATATATATATATATAATGTTGGTGTTATTTTCAATAAATCAACTCCCTCGGTCTCCTAGAGTTGTTTGAACTTTGACCGAGCTTATAGAAAAGAACGTCAAGATTTATGATATCAAATCAATACCATTAGGCACATCGTAAAATATATTTTCATAATTTGCTCATATGGAATCATAAATATAAAAAATATAACTTAAGAAAGCTCTAGGAATGGATTTATTCAGAGGCGTAGGTAGTAGTTAAACTTAAAAATCAATTTATTCTCGAAGAAACAAGATATATACTCCCTCCATCGCTTAATAAATCCATTTTTAGGGCTGTCTTAAGTCATTTTTTGTTATGTTTGATCGAATTTGCAGAAGAGAGCACAATTACTTGTGACACAAAATGAAAACATTATAAAATATACTTTATGATGTATTGGTTTCATAAATTTTGATTTTTTTTCTATAAATTTGGTCATATTTTAAAAAATGAACTTGAGATAATCCTGAGAATTAATTTTATTTTGAGTGAGTGAGATAACTCAACTGTTACTCCCCTCACAAGTCACATGCACGCGCACCCCCAGATTGTGCAGCGCCAACGTGCCCACCGCGGCACCAGGTGCCTGTTTAGTTCCTAAAATTTTACAAAATTTTTCAAGATTTCTCGTCATATCGAATCTTTGGATGCATACATGAAGCATTAAATATAAATAAAAAATAAAACTAATTACACAGTTTAGACGAAATTCACGAGACGAATCTTTTAAGCATAATTAGACTATGATTAGACACTAATTACCAAATAACAACGAAATTACTACAGTACCGTTTCAAAAAAAAATCGCCGACTAAACAAGGCGCACGTGGGTGTCGTTGCCCGCTTGCTTCCGTCCAAAACGGATAAGGCCCACAGAAAGGTGCATGGGCCCACCGGAAGAGTAGCAACAGTACTCGCCACTGACAACTGGCCCCCTGGCCCGGCCCGCCTTGTGAACCGCGACGCAACCCTCCCGGTGGGTCCCGCAAAGCGGGCAGGAACGACACTACGACAGGACAGGAGGTGTTGGTTCCTCCTGTTGGGGAGCAGACTAACCAGCAGAGCTCTCAGATCAAGCTCACCCTCCATCCTTGAGTTCAAAGTGTTTTTTAAGGTCTGTTGACTCCATCATGCGGCTTCTTTAACGTCTATTTGAACTGAACAATAACCAACGATCCAATGCTTCTCCAACGTATCTACTAGAAATGTAAAATCTCTTTCGTAACCCGCTTCGAATTTTATAAAATGCCTCGTGTCCGTTTCAGTTTCAAATGTGCACTCATCGGCCCGTCATATCGCTAGTAAAAACTCAGCACAGCATCTTTGCCTTTCGCTAGCTTAAAACACAACCATTCAGGTATAAATAATAAACTCTCTGCCGAAAGCAGAGTAGCAAATGCTACTACTCTAGTTTAGTTTGCAGGAATAGCTGGCACACACAGATATAAATTAAAAAGTGAAATTTTACGGTGCTCGAAAATAATATGAGCCCTCCGCTTCGTTAGATCTGATGATTTAAAAATAGAAAGAACCAAGTGAAAGGAACTTAAGTTTTGGGCCGGAACCAAACATACGTGGACTGGGAACTGATTTCTAACTAAATTTGAAGGGTACGCCGGTACTTTTACGTCTTCGAAGCTGCTTCTCATCCTATAGCTACTTCTCATCTCTTATCCGTGTGTTCTCCCCGAGGCAGAGACAAGAGCAGAGTCCTCGGCCCTTTGCACCCAGCCCCAGCCACCGTCCCCACCTCCACTCTTTCTTCCTCGGAGCCGGCGGACTGCGTCCAGCTGTCCTTGCCGTGCGGAGCTTATTTTAGGGTGACAGAGGGATTAAGGGTTAGTGGTTTAGTTTTTCTTTCCTTTTTAAATTAGCCTGTTCGCTAGTTGTTTTCTGGGCTGATAAGCCCGGCTGATGCTGATTTGTTATGAGAGAAAAATACTGTACTATGACTGATAAGCCCTGACTGAAACTAACAAGCGAACATGCTGAATAAAAAAGAGGACCTACAAGTCCAAGTCACGTGTAACACGATTTCACGAGGAGAAAGGAAAAAAACAACAAACCTGCGGTGCAGGGTTCGTCGTTTTTTCCTACTCTCGAGGCGAGATCGGCATCATCGATCAGTCGGGCAAATTCACACGGTAGCAGCAGTTGCACTACCTACCCCACATCTCTTTTTTGGCCATGATAAACCATATCACACGATACTTTATTAAGGTGTACAAGTGTACAAACGTGGAAAACTCCTCCGCTCGACCACTCGTCTCTATCTCTATATAGACGTGCAGTCCACCCAATCCAGGTCGAGTTCAGAGCGAGTCGAGAGTGAAGTGGGAGTGGCCAGTCGGCCGGCCGGCCACTTTGGCACTTTGCTATAACCAGCTAGCATGCTAGCTAGAGGGCCGGCACTGCAGTGGCAAATGGCTCGCGTCGCCGCCGGCCTTGCAGCCCTGCTTCTCCTCCTGCTCCTCGCCTCGGCCTCGGCCTCGCCTCTTGGCCGGAAGGGCGGCCACGCAGCCGACGAAGACGGCGAGCTCGAGCCCGCAGCGAAGAACGAGAACAACCTCGCGGCTGCTTCCAGGTCTTCGTCGGCCGGGAGGTACGCCGTGATCTTCGACGCTGGGAGCACGGGGAGCCGGGTGCACGTCTTCAAGTTCGACAAGAAGCTCGATATCGTCCAGATCGGCGATGACATCGAGTTCTTCGCCAAGGTATATTATGCAGTATTTCCATTAATTCTTCTGCCAGATCAAAACTGAATTTGAGATCAAAGCAGCTCTATACCGAATGCTTTGCCCATATACAGAACCGTTCACTTGTCCACACGCTTGGAGAAAAGCAAGTGTGCGACTTATTTTAGGGCAATAGGGCTTCCTTCCCCTATGCAATAGGACATATAAAAAGTTTTATTTACTTATTCCCACCATAAATATAAGTCCGTCTATTATATATATATATTTTTTACTTTGACCATTAACAAAGACCACACCTCATCAGTTTAGCAACAAAGAACACAGATGGATAATAAATTAAATACCATAGTGTGTTCAGCCGTCTTTTCTACTCCTATACGTCACTGTCTGACATATATAACTCTAGTTTCACGAAATCTTTGAATACATAAATATCTTAGACCTTTTTCATAAAACAAATATCTTAGACCAAGCTAGGTGGTATTTGTTGCTCTAAAAATCTTAGACCTAAAACTGGAGATGCGTTAAGATTTAAGAGCATATAGATGGTTAATTTTATTTATATTTTGGACTACATACAAATATTCAAATGTTAACCTAAAAGTACAAATTCAACATGGATGTCAAAGCTGTAGTTGTACCAAACAAGCCCTATGTAAAGCAAAATTACTGATTGGATCACCGATAAGCTTATATCTATGCATGTTTTTAATTTATTGATCCAGGTAAAGCCCGGGCTAAGCTCGTATGCTGGTCGACCTAAAGAGGCTGCAAGCTCCCTACTCCCCCTTCTTGAGCAAGCTAAGAAGATTGTCCCTCGCCGGCTTCAGTAAAATACTCCGCTTAAACTTGGGGTAATTGTTTCCTTCATCTAAGTTCATCGGGCAAGTAAAGGAATATCTGAATGCCCCTTCCCAATATAATACTTCCATCCCAAAAATAACGTAACTTTAAAAGTTTGTGCTAAGTCAATCTTTCTCTAATTTTACTAGGTTTAGAGAAAATAATATCACCATTTGTATCAACATAACTAATCTAATGATGTTTATTTATTATGCATCATAAATATTAGTAATATTTTTTATGTATTTGGTGAAACTTAAAAATTGATTACTTATGAACAAAATGAGAATTACATTCTTTCCGAAAGCAGGGAGTAGATATGTAATTGTTAATGTTTTAAATACGCGTATAAGCTAGCACTTAACAGTGATAAAGCTAAATATTAAGGATATCATGCCGGTTCCGTTGAAAGTCTCTAGTTTCTTCTCAAACTAAAGTGTTTCTTGCATATCAAAATTACAGGCAACTGATGGTCTGGGATTAATCGGAGATGAGAAGGCAGAAGAAATTCTTGAAGCGGTATATTAATTCATTTTATAATATTCTGGACCAAATTATGTCTCATATGTGTAATCTACATTCAAACAAAGACTGCTTACTTAATTGTTTCTTAATACAGGTCAGAGATCTTGTCCACACCAAGAGCAAATTTCAGTACAATCCCAAATATATCACTGTTCTCGAGGGATCCCAAGAAGGATCTTACCTATGGGTATGTGCATTACTTATCTACTTTTGGTCATTAAAAGAAAAAAAAACCACCTATAGTATCTCTTGTACGTACTCAATTTGCAAACTGTGATGCATGTGCATTTGTTGTAGGTTGCTTTGAATTATCTGTCAGGTAAGTTGGGAGGGGACTTCTCGAAAACGGTTGGTGTAATTGATATGGGGGGTGGATCAGTGCAAATGGTCTATGCCATCTCCACGAATGCTGCTGCATCTGCTCCAGCTGTGCCTGATGGGAAGGATCCATACATTACAAAGGAGTACCTCAAGGGGAAAGATTATAACCTCTATGTTTACAGGTTAAGCAATATTACACCGCAATAACATTATTTAATCTTTCATAGGATCGGAGTACCTCGAAGGATATGATCTATAGTGATTAGTCCTTGTATAGATAAATACATATCTTAGTGCTTACAATTTTTACACAATAAAAGTTGAACCATGATGAGAGTTTGTCATTATATTTTCTCTTTCAAATCCTGAACAAATTATATATACTGGTTATTTCCTTAAATACCACCAACACTACTACTGGAATGTTTTTTAGACAGCTCGTGACCCTTTGTAGGGGTGGTTTTGCCAACCGCCCTTACGAAGGGGTGGCTACAAATCCCCGATTTGTTGGGGCGGTTGGCCAGCCGCCCCCTACGAATCACATTTGTAGGGGCGGCTCTATATCCAGCCGTCCCCGTAAATCAATTTCCAGAAATCATGCGATTATGGGCACAAAAAATAGAGAAAAAAAGTCACAAGTCGCGGCATTTTTCGCGTGAAAATCGCACGCTTCACGGCCGGTGGGATTCGAACTCGTGACCTCCGCTCGCGTGTACTCTTGCATTTTGGTTCCCCACATATTATACTAAACCGAACATAAATTTATTGTTTAAGGCCCTAAATGAATTCAAATGAAAAGTTATCAAGTATAAAGTTTTATAACTTTTTGAGATCTACAACTTTCATTTTGGTAGTTTTTCCATCCGAGGTCGTTTACAAAATTTGAATTTCAAATTTGAGAAATTCAAACGTAGTTTTTCATGACAAGATGAATTCAAATCAAAAAGTTGTCAACTACAAAGTTTCATAAAATTTCGAGATCTACAACTTTCATTTTGGTTGTTTCTCCATCCGAGGTCGTTTAGAAAATTCAAATTTTAAACGTTTGAAAATTGAAACGTAGTTTTCGTTGACAAGATGATTTCAAATAAAAAAGTTGTCAACTACAAAGTTTCATAACTTTTTGAGATCTACAACTTTTATTTTGGTCATTTGTTCATCCAACATAATGGTAGTGACATTGTTCACAGATTTTACATATCTCTCTTATAGTTTATAAAACTATAACAGAGATATGTAAATTTTGTGAACAATGTTACTACTACTTTATCATATGAAGAAATGACCAAAATAAAAGTTGTAGATCTTGATGAGTTTTACAACTTTTATGTTCATGACTTTTTCAGGTAAAATCATTTAACGTTTCAAAATAACGTTTGAAGTTGCCAATTTTGAAATTCAAAATTCAAATAGACAGTCACATGAAAAGGTGGATAAAATAATAGATGTAAGAACACAATAATTTGATAGAGCATGATTTTCGAATTTTTTAGGAAAAAAAATCATCAAAATTGAAGTGAGTATGAGGGAGAATGTTTTAGCAAGAAATTAAAAAGAGAAATCAGAGTTCTTCAACAATTTTAAAATTGAATTTCAAACAATATTTTGAAGTAGTAAATGATTTAAAATTAAAAAGTTGTAAACAACAAAGTTCCATAACTTTTTGAGATCTATAACTTTTATTTTGGTCATTTCACCATCGGAGCTCGTTTGAAAAAAATTCGAATTTCAGTGCTTAGTTTTTAATATTCGACGTCTATTTGTAGGGACGGCTCAGACTTGTAGGAGCGGCTGGATATAAAGGTGCCCCTATAAATCGAACCATTTATAGGGGCGTCTGATAACACCAACAGCCCCTACAAATAAATTTGTAGGAGCGATTCAATATAGAGTCGCCCCTAAAAAAAGAGGTGTTGCTAGAAATCGTTTTTGTAGTAGTGCAAGAAAACTTCTTGCCATCACTGTGTCTATGACACATGGGGCCTTCACAATCATTGACAGTGGTATCTCATGTTAGATTTAATGTGGACATGACCCATATTTTATTTCATAATTAAATCAAATAAATTCTATGGCCATATTAGATGCTAGCTGCAATAAAATGGTGGTCTAAATGTAGTTGATGGCTGAACTTGTAACGGTCATAGTTATGGCTGCGGTTACTAGTAACTCCCATTGTTATGGTTGTAGTTACTAGTAACCCCATGTTTATGGCAGAGGTTACTAGTAATTCATGACACTTCATGATGTTCAGGTTCATCCTCTACACTTCATCTTCGGCCTTCCATGCTTATAAGAAGGAGTGCTTGCCTTCGACCGCGCGGACGAGATAACATATATTTAGCACCATCATTCTTCTGCTGAATTGCTCTCGAGTTTCCCCGTCCCAATCCTCTGCGTGCATGGAGAGTTTGGAGAGCAGGCCTCCGGAACCACCGTCTGCATAGCGACACCTGCTCGGGTGTGCGAGCGATCAGGTTTCTGGGGAGTGTCTCTGTGACTGCTCGCATCTTCCTAGTGACTGCCAACGTCTTCTTCTTCCTCGGATCGTCTACTTTCTGGTGGACGTTCGAGGGACTACGCTGCGAACATGTTCCTGCATCGACTGTGGTTCGCGTGGAGCCGCCTGTGCCTTGAGCATGGGTCCCTCCGCTGGGTATAATTCTATTCTTGAATTTTTTAAATTCAATATCTTTTTCGCTATGATCTGTATGTCGTTCATGTCCATATCTGCTACTAGTGCAAGTAGTAATATCACTCACGTGCACATACATGTTGTCACCAATTTGCTATGGATTTTCTAGATTAAATTTAACATAAAAATGCCTAAATTCCTAACAATCCAAAAACCTAATATTAGGCAATGTTGTGTTAGTGGTTTTGATTCTGCGTTGAAGTCGGATGATTTCGATGGCACAAATTATAAGAGATGGCATGCTAAGATGATCCTGTGGTTGACTACTATGAATTGTTATCACGCCGCGCAGGGGAAGCTCGAACAATTTACTCCTAAGGAGGAGCAAAAGTTCGCGGCTGCCGATAACCTATTTTGAGGCGCCGTGATTAGCGCTCTTCATAGCAAATACGAGGACAATTACATCATATGCACGACAGGGATTATCGCTAAGTTGCCACCTTCTTGAAGGGATTTTGCTACCTCTCTAAAGCACAAGTGACAATAGTTTAGCGTGGCTGAGCTGATTGGATCTCTTGATGTTGAGGAGAGGGCGAGAGCAAAGGACACACATGGAAAAGGAGTTGAGTCTTCTGCAGCTAATATGGTGTAGAGGAAAAACAACAATGCATCTCATAACAAGAAAAGGAAGAACAAGTAAGAGAACAACTCGAAGCTTAAGCAAACAACCACTTTTAAGAAGAAAAAGAACAAAGAAGGTGGTTGCTTTGTTTGCGGGAGCGAGGAGCATTGGGCAAGTGCGTGTCTAGACTACAAATTCAAGCAAAAAAAGAAATCAGTAAACATGGTTGTTAGCGAGACTGAAGGAGGATTATCTAGGTATGAAAATTCTTTACCTACTGTTCTTTTAGTCTATCATTCGCCTGAGTGGTGGATGGATACTAGGGCTAACATAAATGTGTGTGCTGATGCTTTTTTGTTTTCTTCTTATCAGGTTGGCAGGACTAGAGCCTTGCTGATGGGGAATGGGTCCCATGCACGTGTTCTTGGTGTTGCTATGGTCATTCTAAAGTTTACTTCAGGAAAGACGGTGCTGTTGAAGAATGTGCAACATGTCCCCTCCATAAAAAAGAATCTAGTTAGCGGCTCTCAATTGTATCGAGATAGTTATAAAATTATATTCGAGTCCAATAAATGTGTACTGTCGAAGTATGGGACATTTGTTGGAAAATGTTATGATTGCGGAGGCTTATTTCGCTTATCTTTACATGATGATGTGTGTAATAAGGTTGTGAACAATGCTATTATCCCTGATGAGTCAAATATTTGGCATTCATGACTTTGTCATGTTAATTTTGGTTGTCTATCGTGTCTAGCAAATCTGAATTTAATCCCAAAATTTAATTTAGTTAAAGGTTCTAAGTGCCATGTGTGTGTGTAATCTAAGCAACCTCGCAAGCCTCACAAGGCTGCGGAGGCGAGGAACTTGGCGCCATTAGGACTAGTTCATTCCGATCTATGGGAGATGAATGACGAATTGACTAAAGGTGGCAAAAAATGCTTCATGACATTTATAGATGATTGTACTAGAGTTTGCTATGTGTATTTGCTAAAATCAAAAGATGAAGCGTTGCATTATTTTAAGACCTATAAAGCTGAAGTAGAAAATCAACTTGAGAGGAAAATTAATCGGTTAAGATCTAATAGTGGTGGAGAATACTTTTCAAGTGAATTTTTTGAATTCTGCGTAGAACATGGAATTATTCATGAGAGGACACTGCCATACTCACTATAGTCTAATGGGATTGCCAAATGAAGAACCACACTCTAACTAAGTTGGTTAACGCCATGTTGGAGACAGCGGGACTATCTAAGGAATGGTGGGGTGCGGCTATTTTGACAACGTGTCATGTCCTGAATAGAGTTTCTACAAAGAATAAAGAAATCACACCATTTAAGGAATGAGAGAAAAAAAGATTAAATCTCTCTTATTTGCGCACTTAGGGTTGTTTGGCCAAGTTGAATATGCCAATTAACAAGAAGCACAAACTTGGGCCTAAAACCGTTGGCTGTGTATTCCTTAGTTATGCCATTCACAACATTGGATATAGGTTCTTAATAATAAATTTTGGAGTACCCGGCATGCTTGTTGGTACTATAATGGAGTCCAGAGATGCTACATTTTTAAAAGTGAATTTCCTATGAAAAATACACCTAGCACATCTAGTCACGAAACTATAATACCCCATGAGCAATTTATTCCGATAAAACATTTTGAGGAACCTCCTGTGCAAAATCCTAAGGAGGATGACATTGTAGTCACTCGAAAGAGTAAGAGAAAAAGGACTGCAAAGTCTTTTGGTGATGACTACATTGTGTACCTTGTGGATGACACACCAAGAACCATTGAAGAGGCATATTCTTTTCTTGATGCTGACCTTTGGAAGGAAGCAGTATAGAGTGAGATGGATTCAATTATGTCTAATGGAATTTGGGAAGTTGTTGAACGTCCTTATGGGTGTAAACCTATATGCAATGGCAGATCTAGGATTTCAAACACGGGGGTACGGAT